TCAGTTGTAATTCATTTTTTCATGTTTGTCATAACATGTATTTATTGAAACCTGTTAAATAAAGTGTTACAATGTGCATGTAAATTCATCCTTAAAGTACATTTTTGAGTTAAGATTTTTATTTGAGTCATGATTATTTTTACCTTAGTAATGTTTTATCAGCTACTGGAGTCAATTTAAATTTGATGACGCTACAAATCAGAGTCTATCTTGCTAATGACCTACCACAGATGGACCCTGATTATTACGAATACATCAAGGAAAAGTTCAAACGTTTTTTTGGTATAGATCACAAAAAGAAAGACCTGGTTGATCCCTATTGCACAATAAAATTTGCCGGCCACAAGGGAAAAACAAACAAGATAAAAAATAATGACGACCCTGTTTGGTATAAACAATTTAATGTTGCTTTTAGAGTAAGTTATTGTTTAGACATTTTTTGTTATAATTAGTTTCTATTTTTAGTTTCCTTCCATGTGTGACAGAATACGCATTCGTCTGATGGATCAGTAAGTCATTTTGAAATTCAATTTTTAAATCATTTTTCTCATCTTTCTCTTCTTGTTTTTGTACCTCTTCTGTATACTTCTACTTCTTTGTTCCTCTATTCTTATACATTGTATTTCTCTCCATTCTTGGCATTTAATTTCTAAAGTGATGATACCTCAATGGATGACACTATTGGTACAGCATTTATTAGACTATCAGATATATCTTCTCCTGGACAAGATAGTATGATTTTTTGAATTAATTTTTTGTTTTAATTTCATTTTTCACAGATTCAGGTTTCTTGCCTACTTTTGGTCCATGCTTTGTTAATATCTATGGATCTCCAAGAGAGTTCTGTGTACTACCTGATAAATATGATCATCTCAATAAAGGAGTGGTATGTATCCCTGGGTTTCCAACAAAGCATGCTAAGTGGGCTAAAAGCATGCTTCATGAGCTGAAAAACCTAACAGCATATTGAGCAACTTTAAAAATTTAAATTTGAATGGAATCAGCTCAAAATTTCTACACAACATTACAGGTCAAGATGTATATGTATCAAAACAATGTATAAGAATGAAGAATTTTCTCAGAGCCATGTTTGACAAAACTTGGCCAAAAACAAAGGGCTAAACATAAAAAATTAAAAAAAACAAGATTGAGTAGGAT